TTATTATTAAGGAATAGACAAGGGGAAATCCAATAAATCGTTATCTCAAAGTTGCGTGCGCATCCAAAATTGAGAAACTTGACGGGCCACGATACCAGAACACGAGTATTAACATGCATTGCTATGATTTTTTTTTCGATAAGAATTCATAAAAGCGATTATTCTCATCTTTAAATATAAAACTGTCTTCTCAATTTTACTGAATCTGCGTTTTTCAGTTTTGTGACCCGTAAAGTTGGATGCGCACGCATCCATGAGAAAATGGTTTATTAAAACAAGAATACAGTAGGACGCTTGCACGATGGCGTCATTGACCTCTACTACCAGACTCCCTTGCACACTTTCTTTTTGTTCAGTTAATTAGCACCAATTGTCTTACTATTCTCATGAGGAAATACAAATTTAAATAAGAAAGAAAATTCACGAAGCATCTTGGTAGTGGGAGTCAAATGACGCCATCATGCAAACGTCCTATTCAAGGTGGCCACCATATCGCTAAAAACGTCTGTTTTTCCGAATGCTTTTTTKGGGGGGTGGGGGATCGGAGAACCCGGTTAATAAAAGAATCAACATTTAAGTCAAAATTCAGTCAGGTGTGCGTGATGGCGGTTTAAGAGAGAACCTCACACTTGGTAATACATAGGTCACACCCCATACTTGATTCTCGCTGATCGTCATAAATGTATATATAAGTAAATCCCTGCATTATCGTGCTAATTGCTATTTTCTATTTACCAAGTTATGCTTGTATATAAGTATGGTGGTAGAGGTAAAAGAACAATGAAACCGCAATGTTGTTTAACAAATCACATTGAATCCTAATTCTATTCAATATCTTAATGTGGTGTGAACAGTCGAGAACCATAAGGAATTCTAAGTTCCAATATTCCCATTTAGGTTCACCTTTGCTCAGTCTTAGCATCGACTGTGTGAAATGTGTTTTTTTCTTTTATTAACTTTATTTAACTTTCATTTAACTTTAGATGTCCAGAAAGGTAGACCAGTTAGTAGTCTTTTTATTTTATCTGAATGCTTGCAATTTTCACCGAATTTTCACCAAATTGACGTCACCAGCGTGCTCCATACGAGTGGTCCATACATTTTTTCTTCATAGGTGGTGAACCAATCAGAGCACGCGTTATATCTTAATTATGTTAAACGTACAACTGAGGCTAAGGTTGAGCAAAGAGAACTCAAAACTGGAGTATTCGCTCTCTGAGTTGGTCGTAGTTACGTTAGGATAAGATTTGAGGTAGAATCGCTGGCTTGCTTTGTAAGTAAGGTAAGGAAAGTTAGAGTGAGGTCATTAAACCCATGAAATAGATATTTGACTAATACACTTTAGTTGTCTCCCTAATTCCATTGTTTTCTTTTGTGTCTATTTAAGTATAACACGTTGACTAGTACGTTTTGTTTCACGGGTTAAACGCCTTCACTCTAATAGGTAAGGATGTGTGTAAACTATAAAATATTTGTGCTACTATTTGCAGTGTATTAGACACAAATTCCATTGTTTTTCTTTTGTTTTACTTTGACTTTTACAATAGAGCGGATGCAATTAAACCGTGGAATAAACCAGAGGTTTACTAACAGTTGCTATCACTCAACCAGAACATTTATTAAACAAAAGACACAAATGGTCTCTTGTGTATTTGTCTTTGTACGATGAATGCTCTAGTTGAGTGATAGCAACTGTTAGTCACTAAATAGATAGAGTACAAACACTATAAGTGTGCAACATAAATATCACTAAATACTGCTAAATTATGTTTTCTATTGTTTAATTATCGCTATTTAGAGCTAAAAATTAGTCTTTGTTTCACGGATTTAGTGTGAGCACTCTAATTGCATCCGCTCTAGTAAATACTACTACTTTGTTTCATCGTATTCAATTTTTTTAAATAGACACTTGATATTATACTCTTAGCCTACACAATCGACAGGAAACCGCGTCTGCAGTTTATAACTGAGTAAAGATGACGGGAACCACCGATTCAAACCTCAACACCCCTAATGAAGATAAGAGAGAGGAAGAATATCTGACGGATTTTGAAGTCGAAGTCGATGAAGTTCCTCCAAGAGAGGCTTGGAATAATAAAATCGATTTCATCCTCGCTACGCTTGGGTACATAGTGGGTTATGGAAATTTTTGGCGTTTTCCTTATCTGTGCTACCGAAATGGAGGAGGTAATGATGTGACAATGTTACAGAATAATCATATTTTCTTTTTTAATTACATTGTATAATACATATTATATATATTCTTGGGGGGGGGGGGGGGGGAANGGGGGGGGGGGGGGGGGGGAGAATCAAATAGTTTTCATTTATCAGTAATAACAACGTCTGACTTCGTTTTAAATATAAAATATTGGCTAGCTGTTTTCGATGGGTGTCTACCGTAGTATTTATCAGCTTCCTTCCAAACTTTTTTTAATACTTAGCCGAGTTCAGAGGTTTAAAAGCCTTATTCTTGTCTGGAAAATATTTCAATATTTTAATTGAATATATAGCAGAGATTTCTTACGGTATTGAGTCAATTGAACATGGAATTGTCGTTGCTCAGCCATGCCCTGGCCATCCAGTTTAATTAATACAAAATACCATTCACCATGCATTAAAGGTGGCTCCATTGAAGAAATAGAAAACGCACGCGCGTGCTGTTTGCTGTAATAAAGCACGCGGGGGTTGGCAGAACACGAGAGAAGTGTTAGGAGAAGCACGACGCGTAGCGGACTGCTTCTGGACACTTCTCGAGTGTTCTGCCAATCCCCAAGTGCTTTGTGACTGCACACAGCACAGCAAGCAAGTTTTTTATTTCTTTTATAAAATACAAATTACAATAATAGGGAATGACGCAACGGAAAGTGCGCGCGCGTGCAATGTGCTCTCATAAAGCACGCGCTCCAAACCAATCAAAACGCGACATTCATAGCAGTTATTTTATAAATAGTTTTTGTATCGTTCGCACGCGTTACCTTTTCCTGAAATAACTCAAAAACTAGACGGTCCTTTTTGTCATATTAAAGTTAAACAGTGCCAAAATATTTAGAAATTCGGTAATGTGGAATTTTTTTTATTCGGCCAATTCAAGCTTTAGCATTATTTGAATCTCTGTAGTACCAAATGCTTTAGCATTGTGTCAAATGAATGGTGAGGTATGACGTATATTCATTGTAAAATGTTCTATTAAAAATGCACTGTGGAAAACTTGAGTTTTAAATTTTTTAATGAAAAGAATGGCCTTCATTATAGCTGAAGTACTGTTACCACGGTAAACTAATGTGTGATCAGCTCGACAAAATTGAATCCTAAACTCATGAACTTTATGTCCTACTGAGTGATTCTAACTACCGAAAACTCTCTGAGGGAGCCATCTTAAGAGTATACGTTTTCATTCGTAAACGCAGATACTTTTTGATGCGTTTAGCCTTCCGTCCACACGTAAACGATGAAAACGTTCACCGTAAACGCATACTTATGAAAAGGCTCTTCGTAGGGGATACGTCGTGTGGAGGGCTGAAAACGATTCGTAAACGATGACCGTTTACGTGTGGACTGATAGAATTCGTTTACAAAAGTATGCGTTTATTAAGGTACCCTGATACCTTAATACATCAGATGAAAAATAAGGTTTAACTCATTGAAATTTTATTTCAGGTGTTAATCGCATTATTTACTTCAACTTGCATCTTTCCTTGATTCTTTTAATATGAACAAGAAATAAGAATATCCCACATGGAACATCAGCATTTCATTTCCTCATATAAATATCAAGGTAGTCTACACTGAATAAGAGCTTCTTACTTATTAGCGTCGTGTAACCTTCGTAATCAGATGACATAAGTCTATCGGTAAGCGTTTAATTATCGATCTGCTCACATCTTAGTGAGTTTCATGGAATGACACATTTGCATATTCAGACCCCTCACAATAACACGTTTAGTACGTTTCTACGGTTAACGTATCCACGAGTTAAAAATGTAGTCACAACTCCTACTGCTGTTTCTTTCTATCCGAAATGTCAGTCATCATTTGCCGGTTTTCCATTATCTTTGGCATTTCGGTTTTCAAAACATGACTTGATTTGATTAAAAGCTTTTCTTGTTGTTTAGTGATTTTTATCTCGTCCTGTTTTTCCTATGGTCTCTTTTCGGCCATCTAATAAACCTCTTCGGCTTGGGGAAACGTTTTCCCATTTCAGACGACGTGTCATCCCCTTGAGAATAAGATTCTTTGTTTGAGCTGTATCCATATTCATGTGTCTTCTCATGTGCAACCGAGCGCAAACCTTAAGCAAGGAGATGATACTCTAAATGGCATGTGGTATGAAATGGGAAAACATTACGTGAGAGCCGAAGAGGTCTATTCATGTCTCTTCACAGACTCTCTGGTGTTCACTGAGCCACAAATGGTTTGATAATTCCTTCTTTACATTATGGATGGCAGGCCCGGGAATGAAAATTATTGCTGCAAGCTATCGCTGTAAAAGAACAAAACAACATCTTTCTTTGCTAAAACAACATCTTTCTTTGCTAAAACAACATCTTTCTTTGTAAAAAAAAAAAGAAAAATAAAGATGGCAATAAATGAATACAGTATATTGCGGGCATGAATAGTCTAAGCAAATATCTGCATGACTCATTTTTCAAAGGTGTATACAAATTTAACAATTGTACAGACGTTTACTAATCAAATCCGTGTGCATGGTACCCAGATAGAAAGTCAAATATTATGTTGACTTGCGTTACTTTATATCCAGGGTACATTCTTTTAAGACTAGATCTTATGTCAGTATATTTAACAGTTTTCTTTTTATCCCTGTCAAGTATCTCTCCTACATTACAGACTGTTCCTTCAAATATAATCCATTGCTTTTCTTTCTTATTCCGCACAAGGATGTCTGGTTTATTTGCACCGCCTTTTGGAGGGCTGTCTTGGTAGATTTGGATATTCCACAGTACTTTTGCTTCATCATTTTCGACAGAGCTCTTTGGGGGTRGTTCTTTGTGYCAAGGTGTTACGYTGWCTTTATCATCAGAAAGTTYAAACTTCTTAAGTATCGCGTGATACACAGGTCTAAGCATGTGATCATGTCTTGATGTGTAGAGCGATTGGGCTATGGCCGAGCATTTGCACATGATGTGTGCAATACTCTCATCTCCAGATTGGCAAAGCCGACATTTCAGATCTTCTGCTTCACCTTTCAGTTTCTTTACGTTATAGACTTTAGTTGGCAATAGTTGTTGAATAATACTTGTGTGAATACTGTAAACAACAGTTGGAATGTTTTTCCAGACTTTTGAGATGTCACACCATTCTTTGTGCAGGTCTTTGTTTTCTCACTGTTTATTATTATTATTATTATTATTATTATTATTATTATTAATCCAGCTAACCCTTTATCTTTTCTATTTGTCCTTTCAGCCTCGTTTCTTTTCCCGTACATTTTGATGCTGTTTCTTATCGGTATTCCTTTGTTCTTCATGGAGCTTGCTATTGGTCAGTGGTACAATCGTGGTTTCATTAGCTTGTGGAAAGCTGTGTGTCCTCTCTCAAGAGGTAAGATTGAATGAGAAATATCTTATTCGTGGTTTTTTTTTGTTTTTTTTTTTACCGTTTAAAATGTTTCAGTTTGTTTGTTTGAATCGTCATATCTGCTTGTCTATTTGCTTGCATGCTTGTTCTTCTCTTTTTTAATCATTTGCTCGTATGTCTTTTGGCTTTTTTGTTTACTAGCGTGAAATTTGCTTGCTGGGAACCCACTTGTTTAAATTTCCTATTACTCCTACGCTCTTGCCTATTTGTACAAGAGAGAGAAACTTCTTAATGACGCGCGCGCCATGTAAATTCCCGGTTGGGCTATTTTTAGTAACCGGATGCAATTTAAAGTCCCCCTATCCCATTCCCGTGCGTCATCAACTTGCGCGTGAGTGCTCTTTCCGTTTATTGTTTTGATAGTCTCCCCCACAGCCGCTTTCAGTGTCGTCACGCAACGCTTTCTCCCCTGGTTCTCAGGGGAGAAAGCGTTGCGTGACGACACTGAAAGCGGGTGTAGGTTTTGATAACTAAAAACGAAACGGAACGAGTGCGCGCGCAAGTTGATAACGCACGGGATTAGGGTGAAGTAGAATGTGTTGGCCGTTGCCATTAGCGACTCAACCACGTCTCGTTTCTCTCCACAGGCCTTGGATACGCAACAATAGTAATGCAGTTTTTAAGTAGTCTGTATTATATAGTTATCCTCGCCTGGGTTCTGTTCTATTTTTTTGATAGTTTTCGTTCTGAGGTACCTTGGAGCGGCTGTGGTAACGACTGGAACACACCTTTCTGCAGGTAGATTTGTTATTTTTAAGTAATAAATAAAATCATTCAACACAAAAAGACTGAACATGCAGAACACATTGATAGTGGCAAATTGATTAAAAGCATTGTCAGACGTCTGTAAAATATGTGTTAGCAAACCCAAGTCTGATTCTAGATTTGTTACCTTTCCAGTTTTGGACAAAAGTAACGGAAAACCAAAAACCTCGGTAAATATGAAGCTTTTCTAATCAGTCAACAAACTGGCAAGAATTCGATGAACTTGAGTCATCAAGACAAACATTTATTCACAGATCCCATTATAAAACAAATCATTGGAACAATTTTACAAACATGCTAACTTTTCTTGTTAAAATTACAAACATTGAAAACCTTAATTTAAGATTGGTTAGTGGATTGATTGGTGGATTGGAGGGTGGATTGGAAGCGTCTGTCTCCGGCTCTCCCCAGCCCCTCCTAACTGCATTTCTCTCTCATAAGAGCATTGATATTTTAAAACTATAATTTCTACTTGCTATTCTATGCAGAGTTGAACGAACATCCAACCAAGTGGTCAACTGCTCAGCTTTCAATCTTCCCGTCAACTGTACTCAGGAGTTCACATCGCCAAGTTCTGAATACTGGAAGTAAGTTGACAGATGAAAACGCTGCAAACGTAGGAGACCCATAACCATTTTTCTCTCGCCGTCTTTTTCGTATTCTTCGTTTACAGGTTCATGATTAATCGCGATCATGTAACAAAATATTTCTCATTAGCTTCCCATGTTATTCGAAAAAAGAAAACATCAGCTTATTTCTCACTGTTGCTTTCATAAGTGCTCTCTTTTCATACATCCCTTTCTGTCAATGATTTTCCTGGGGTTATAACCAAAAGCATTTCATTTTATCCTTCTAGCCGCCGAGTGCTTCAGATAACCGACTCGATTGAAGTAGCCGGCTCCATGAGGTGGGAACTGGTCGGTACGTTGATCCTCTCCTGGGTTCTTGTTTACTTTTGTATATTCAAAAGCATCAAACTCACTGGAAAGGTATGTGTACTCTTCCTTGCTTCCTTGATTGCTTGCTTGCTTGCTTCCGTGCTTCCGTGCTTCCGTGCTTCCGTGCTTCCGTGCTTCCGTGCTTC